CCCCCCCCCTCACTCCACACACCTCACTCTATCTTCATCTCTCTCTCCCACACTCTCTCTCAATCTCTCCCTAATCTCTTTTTAATTAAAAAAATTTATATATCTACTTAATATAAATTTTACCTTATCTCTCTTCCTCTCCCTAATCTCTCTTCATCTCCCTAATCTCTCTTTAATTAAAAAAATTATATATCTACTTATTTTTTAAATTCAAAATGTCGAGCTTTCTTGGTCGTGGCCGTGGTTCGAAGTCCGGGGCCTCCGGGCAAAAGCGGCAACGGCAAGGCGCATCTTCTTCGACACCTCCATTGCCCTCATTTGCGAGTCCAACGATACATATCGATGTCCCGGGCGTGACCGACGATATAGATGCCGCCACAATCGATCGAATGTTCGATGTCGTTCAGCCTTCACCCTCAGTCCAACCGGCAACGGGTGTACACGAGGTGGACCAAGAGCAGCCGTACGAGGACCATCTCGACGATCTATTTGGAAGTACTCCTCCAGATGAGCAGCCACAACAACCCACACAGCCGGTCCGAGTTGTCGGGGGCGGTAAAGTCACTCGGGATTCCGTCATGTTCGACCGACATTACACGAAGGCTCCAAATGAAAAGAAAAGAGGTGATCCTTATTTTCTGGCTATTTGCAACTACTGTCCAGCCAATTCGAAGACGAAGTATCAGTTCAAAAAAGGCGACGGGTACGGGACGTTGACCCGACATTGAAGAATGTTCATCCGACCGTAATGGAAATCGACACGGCACAGACGCAATTCCCAAGTAGCAGCGGAGCATCCGCCTCAGCCACTCAAGGTGCAGGTACGTCTTTATTTCATTACTCTCATGAAAATCATAGACGTCATTTAGCTGAATTTGTTTCTGCTTCGTCTCTTCCTTATAGTTTTGGTGATAGTGATTTATATGAAAATTTTGCTCAAATGGCTTTAAATCCGTCTGCCAACCGAGTTCCTCGTACCACCCTTACTCGCGATATTCGAAAAATCGTGAGTGAGAAGAAACTAATTTTATAAGAAAATTTTAAATCTTTAAATCATAGAGTATCCATTTGTGCTGATATATGGTCCGATCATTGGATAAATAATTTATA